AGCAGCACATGGTTCACAAGACAATCTAAACCCACAAATTGTTCCCCTGGGATGTCTTTGAATCCGTGACTGGTCACAACAATTCAGCAAGGGTGTGGATCACACTCAGTCCCACAAAGTGACTCACAAAAGTCACAGGCACTTGCACTGTACATCCAGCCACCCCAGTGGGGTACTGGTGCAGAGGGCAGTGCCACTCCCTGACTCATCAGCACCTCCTCCGGCAGCTCAGCCAGTTCTCCCAGTGCTGTGTATCAACTAGGTCTACGCTGCGCATCCACAACACAGAGCTCTGGGAAGCCAATACTGCAACAAAAAATTGGCTCTCGGCCTCAAGACCAGCGTCAGATTAGTCACTGAATAACTCAGGATGATCCAATGACTCATAATTTATTATGCCTGTGAGGACTGGAAACAATCATATCCTGTGCCGTTGACCCCCATTCACCATACTACCCGTAGTGAGATAAATCAAAGTAAGTAGGAGTTAGCTTCTTATCCCCAGGAGCACCAACACCTTGGAACAAACAAAACCTGCTCAGGAGTCTTCAGGCTGCTTCTCACAGATGTGAGGTTCTTGCAGTGCAAAAAAAGAAGACTTGAACCTTCCAGCAAGCTGCCCAACATAAAGGAAGGGGACTTGGAGGGAGAATGGGCAAATTGGAACGGTGAAGAAAAAAGGTAGAGATGATCAACAGGAAGTTGCATTTCCAGAAGTTAGTATTTGCACAGGCATCTGAGCAACCAGGTGAGGGGTTTCTTTGAAAGGAATGAGTCAATCATTGGGCACTTGATTGGTGTCAGAACTGAGGACAGAAGGAAGGGCAGGAAGAGATGCTGGTGGGAATCTTGCTTCTGGAGAAGAGGCCAATGACACAAGCATATACTCCCTGGTATCCGTAAGTTTGTGGCACAGGCTGGATCCAGTACCAGCAGGTTCTCTGTAGGTGAGTACAGGAAGGCCGGGCAGTGAGATGGCAGCCCGGACACCTTTCCAAAGTGTACACCATGGCTCAGGAAGGAGTTATGGGCAAACAAAGATGAAGGGCTCAGGTCTTAAAATCTCTGAAGAGGTGATGGAACTGAATTACTTGCATAAATTGATAATTTTGCTCATATTGTGTTGCCTCTCCCCCTTTTTATCTCGCCTTAGATAATGCTCCCACTGAAAAGGGTTGCAACGGCTCAAGAGCTTGCATCAATCATACCCTTCCTTCACCACAGACCCATTTGATCGAGATTCAGAGATAATGCCAATGTGGGGCCAAAGCTTTTCACCTCCAAGCTACCACACAGGTTGGGAGCTAGGCATCTTGACCTGCATCCTAGATTGTTTTGGGATTACGTGAGCCTCCCTGGGGAATGTTCAGCAGGAATTGATACTCATCACCAGTCCTGGCAAGGGGCTGAGCAGAGCCAGACACTCTCCCTAGCCTGGGTCCCACCATGCAACACTCTCCAAGCATGGAGAACACCAACAACTCAGAATAGCTGACAAAGGAGGTGTCAGAGTAAGCCCCAAAGTAAAGCCCTCCTGTGCTGGCATCAGGTTTGCAGGATGCCTTCCCCCTGCTGCATGCACCAGGCTTGGCCAGGAGATGAGCAATGTGGTGGGCTGGGCTGCAGAGGCACGTGGGTGCTAAACACACAGAACCCTACGGCAGCTGGCTGCAGTGGGCAGCCCCGATGCCTAAAGAGATGCTTGGGCACACACAGGCTAGGGAGAGATGGAGCTTTTTTTTCATTCCCAAAGAAGTGTTTGGGGCATCTGAAAAAGCGAGGTGAAAATATAGACCATGAACCAGCAAGATTAGGCCCATGTCACAATGTACAGGTATAGCCCAGAACTGCAGATATTTCCTGATGTATCTCAGTTGTGGGTAGGCAGCATTGCTCACCTGGATGTATGGAGGCAGCAAGTTTAAAGAAATCCCTATGGAAAGGCTTTTTTGCCTTGGGAAGCCAGCCTTGGGCAGGTAAACAGGTGGCACTTGCCCAACAAGCCCGCTTCCCTTTACATGTCTGTAATCACCTCACACAAGACAGCGAGTTACACCTCTGGAGATACTATCCTGAGGTAGGCAGCCAGCAAACCTCTGACATTTGAAGGGGAACCTGACCCTTCTTCCCTTCATGATGCAAAGCCCCTGGGGTCCTTCCACCTCCCCACAGGGAAGGGCAAGCTTTCCCCAAAGCTGTGGTCAGGCACTTTATGCATTCCTTTCGCACCCTCCTTCACTGCTGTGCAGGGGATATCACCTCCCTGCTCTCATCCACAACTCACCACCTCTTACGAGATATGGGGTACTTGGCTGGAGGTCCAGGCACAAGTGCCTGGTTGCTCTGGGATGGCCAGCAGCTCAGCCACCCCATCGTGCAGGGTGTCAGGTGCTGCGGGGCACAGCAAGGGCCAGCAGCTGCTTGTGAGGTGGCACAGTGCCACCAGGGCCACACTGGCCTGGCCCCAAATGGGGAGCTGGGAGCAAGCACAGTGCTTGCCCAGACCAGGACTGCAGACCTTGTGCTGGATGATCTGGATTAGCCTTGAATTTCAGCCATCCCAAGCACAGAGAGACTGCCTGCTCACTCACCACATGGACTACTATAAAAATACCCATCTCTCACTACCAAAGATCTCACGGGCAGAGAGTGGAGGACGTGTTCTGTGAAATGAATTTCCTTTGGGCTTCCAAAGTCCGTTGTGGGACTATGCTGAAGGACAGGAGATTTATAGGCATTTCTAACACAGACACTGTAGGTGGTGGTGGAGCCCAGGCAGAGCCTGTCTGACTTAGAGACTGGATGAGCAGCACAAGACATGAGCAACAAGGGGTTAAACCAGCTAGCAGGTGCCAAAAGGGAGAGACAGACAGGGCTTCCAACCAAAAGCACTCTTTATTCCATTGCCAGTGGGATTTTCTGTTGTGTCTGCCCAGGGCACCCTTTTCTGCCTTTCACGGTGCCTCCGCTCTCTGAATCACACAGAATAAATGCAGCAGGCACGAGGAAAGCATCAGCTGGCTGCCTGAAGATAGCATTTTAATAAGCCAGCAACCAAAACGTGGACGTGACCAGAAGCCTTTCAGGGAAAGTTCTCATCCACATGGTGAAAGGCTGTATGACGAGATCAGAGTGCCAGCGTGAAAACCTGGCCTCCCTCCACATGTCCCTGCCTCACCTCGGGCCCCGGCACAGGCAAGCCAGGTGCGAACTCTGGGTAGGGTGAGGGGCAACTGCTCTCCTCCGTCCCAGCCTCTCCAAAGGCAGGGTTCTCAATCATGTACAGCCTCTCCAACTACCCTGAGCTCACTTCCAACACCAAACTATGACCATGTTCCTCACAAGAGATGACAGCCCAGTTATACCCACCCTGGAGAACAAAGAAGAGTTGGACTGCTTCCAGAGCCCCAGGCAACCCTTGTCAGAGATGGCTTGGGCAGTCTTGCTGCAGATGTTTAAGGCAGCTACCTTGGCTCTTCTGCATCCACACAAATTCCATGAGCTGTCCCATGTGAAATATGCCATCCAGTCACTGTCTCATGTAGTAGGTGGCTACCAGGTCACCTTGCTCTGCAGATATCCTACTCCTTCTGAGTCCTTAGAGGTAGGAAAAGAGAGGGGCACCAGGAGTAGCCAGCCCAGCTTGCCATTGGTGGGATGGAATTTGATGTGTTTGGTTTGATGTGCTGATGAAGGTTTAATGTGTTGTGACTGACAGGAACACGCTGGCTCATCCATACAGGAGACCTGGGTCTCTTCATGCTGAGATTTCACATCCAGCTCAGCTCAGGGGAGAAGCACTTACCTGAGGGTTTCCATTTTTCCAGTTTGATGACTTGTAAACATTTCCCAGGTCACAAACAGGCAGACCAGGTCTCCTCAGGATAGGCTTGCTGTCTTGATCACCTTGCACAGCCACAAGTAAAAGAGCCCATAGATCCACACAGAACAAAAGCCAGTGGTGAATACACAAGGGAAGTAACTCCTTTGGGTTCCTCGTGCAGAAACATCCAGATAGCTCACGTTCTCACCTCACTGCTGCAGTCCACAAGACATTACTGAATACAGTGAACCAAAATGTCCTCAGGTACTCATCCTCTTTCCTCCCACAGGATCCTCTGCTGAGGCAGTGACTGCAGATCCGCCTGTTGAGCTACTTGAGTCCATCCTAAATAGAAGCCAGATTCTTTACCTTCACAAGAGCAGGAATGATGCAGCCATGAACTCAGTGGTCTGTATTACCCTAAGCAAGTCGCCTCCCAGACATCCAGGAAACATCCTGCATGCTCCTTTCCAGTGTGGACAGATGACTGACACATGACACATCCACCTTCATGGATAATGAGGAAATTACACCACTGCCAAAGTTTTTCCTCCTAGACCCCAAAGCACATCACAAAAGATGCTATGGTATCAAGATCCCTCATGAAGTGATGAGCACTGTCAGAGCTAAACAGTTTTATGTTCGAAGTCATCCAGGATGGCAAGGTCTGGCTGAGCCGTCACTGACGGCGAGTTACATGCACACAAATCCAACTGCAAACACCAAGTCCATTACCAGACAGGGCAGGCTCACAGCATTACTTTCACCTTGGACTGTAAATTCCACCAGGATTGCATCTACTCATGCCTGTACAGTACCCAGCTCACAGGACTTGGCTCCTGACGGGAGAGGCAGGGCTGGGACCATCACCACACTGGTCGGCATCAGGCTGGGAAGGAACCCAGGAGTCCTGCCCCCTTGGTCCTGCCCATCACACCACCCTCTTCTCACCAAGCAGGGAACTCAGGCTGAGCTCCACACAAGAATTCTGGTGCCTACCTCCCATTCATTTCAATGGTTTTTAGGTACCTAGATGTTTTTGGAAGCTCTGGGCCCAAATCCAAGAGTCCAACTGGTAGGTTGCTGATGCCCTGTAGCCTCCAGAGGCAATACTGGAGAAATTATTACACAATGGAAGAAAACCAGGATGCAAGGCAGAAGGAGAAGGCAAAGGAAATCAAGGTCAGAATTAAATTCTTTAATACAAAAAAAAGTTTGTTTGTCGTCGTCGTCGTTGTTTTAAGATATATCTGTAATTTCTTTGTTTAAAAATAAATATGTACTAAGGAATATCTTGAAAAAATTCACTAGACACAATATGTAGTGTTAATATCTTTTTTCCCCGCAATTATTACAGATAAACAGTAGCACCAATAAATAAAATGATAACAAATATTAAAATTAAAAAGGAGAGAGATTCAAGATGTAGAATTTTCTATTTTTTCCTGTTTCTTCTTTTTACATATATAAAAAAATTGTAGTGTCTATTTAATCCGAATCACACATATACATAAACATATATATATATACAAACACATAGCCAAATATATATATAGTATGTAGATGTATATCTAACCGTTGCCTCAATAGGAATGTGTAGGGGTAGGTGTTAGAGAAATTAATTAAATAACTGCCCATAACATGCTACTGACTCTGCCAACAATTGGGGAGAGACGGGATGGGACAACAGGAAGGTTAAATTTATACACAACCAGTACAAAAAAAAAAAAAAAAAAAAAAAAAAAAAAAAAAAAAAAAGAGGTACGGCTTATAAATAGTTGAAATTAAATATTAACAAAGAATACTGAAAAATCCCTACTCTTTAATTAAATTATCTGTTTAATTTCTAATTTAAAAAGGGATATTAAATAAGTATATAAAACACTTTCTCTTCCCTCCCCCGATCGGAAGCCTCTGTCTTGCACACGATGCAGCATGAGTATTCTACATTGCAGATGCAAGCACCCACCCGTGTGTTTTCTCTCCTTCTGAAAGCCATCAGTCGGATGGGGAGATCCTAGTGGTTAGTAGTCGCTTGTTGTGAGTCTGTTTTTAGACTGTCTTGTCTTTTTGGAAGCTTTCCGTGTTGTACATTATCAGGCGTTGAAAATTCAATTGCAGATGATGTTTGGCAGCATTCTGACACAGACCGAGTACCTTTTTGATTATTATTATTATTAATAATAATTTTAATCACAGAACTAGATTATATATATCCACATAGATGTACAAACACACTTTCAGGGGTGTGTGTGTGTGCGCGCCTGTGTAAGGTGGGTTTCACGTACACCACAGCCTACACTGCAGATACACACATAGCCAAGAACCTCACAACACAGCTAAGGACTCCAGCTGTCTTCACATTTGATTCCCCAGCCCAAGACATGGAAAAGGGGCCTGATATTTACAGTACGTCATTAAAAAAAAAATTTTGACGTTCTTAAGGGTCATTCACACTGGGCACACAAAATGAAGGCAGCAAAAGTTGCTTTCTTTTTTCCCCCCTTCAATCTTGGCATACATATATATTATTTTTTATATATATATATGTATAAAAATAAATATATATATATAAAAAAGAGAGAAAAACACATACATACATACACACAAATGCATACATTCACATACATACACACACACCCCCACTACTGTGTATATACTTCTGATTAATATCCCTTTCCAGAAATGTTCCGTAAGCATCTTGGATGCTCTTGAGTGGCAGCTCTGTGCATGAAGAAAGCAGACAGTGCTGAACAACTGTGTGGCTATGCACCGGTCCCCATTCTTGCTTCAGCACACTGTAGACCTTGTGTCCTTCTGCAGCCACCAAGGGCCGGAAATCTAGACTCCTGTGATAATTCCTTGAACAGAAAGTCAGTGCGCATCAGCTGCCCACCATCCTTAAGAGAAGCCAGCATGTCTCTCTGGCAAAGGCTCTACAGCGAATAAAGTCAACGCAAAAATGTACACTGACATCCCATGTCCCAGCAAGGCAGGCAGGTTATGAGACGAGTAAGGACGAAGGTTGGGGGAAGAGAGGGGAGGAGGAATCCTTGATCACGGAGATGGCCATTTTCTTGGCCTTTGACCCATCGCACCCTAGGATGCCGCTCTTTGGAACTCCCTGCCCATCCTCTCCATCACCTCTCCTCCCTGTCCCAGGCAAGGAGAAGGTGGTTTGTGGTACAGCACACTCTACAGAGAAACAGCGGAGGCCGCACAAGTCAGTTAGAGTTAAGAAGTTTACACCCAGCGCTTCTACTCAAGTCCAGTCTTAGCTTGTTTCTTATGCCCCAAGTAGCCCGCTTGTGTCCACAGCAGTCGAGTATTATCCAGTGAAGACACCAATAACATTAGCAATGTTAAAAAAAATAATCAGTATATATATATATATATATATATATTATATATATATGTGTGTGTGTGTGTGTGGCAAAGATATACATATATGTATATATAGATGTGGTTAAATATATATACATATATATATATGTATATGCATGTATACACACATATATATGTATGCATGGGAAAACCCATCAAATACACCCCTATAAGTCTTCCTGGCTCTGTTATTTAGCAGCATAAAAAGAAAAATAAAATAAAACAGTTCAAAACCCAAAGGTGAATTCTGTGCGGCGGGTGCCTTGGGGAATGTTCCTTCCGGAGTCCATCGTCCGTACTGAAAGTGCTGTGCTCTACCGATCCTTCATTTTTAGGGTTCATTTGGATTAGTGTTTTGTTTTGTTTTATTCTGTCCAGGCGAGAAATCAGGCTCCAGAAACAGGGCTGTTTCCCCTTCTTTTCCGCTGCTCACCGTCTCGGTTTTTCACATCTGTCAAAGAGAAGGAAGGAAAAAAATAGAACAGGGGTTAAAGTTTGTGATGGGGGTGCAGCTAGGGCAGGGAAGGGAAGGAAGGGTGGTGGCTAATGTGTTTAAGAGCACATGGTGTTAAGACATGGCATGACGTCACTGGTGGGGTGAGTGCTGGGCAGATGGGGCAAATCAGCTGAGAATCTCAATCCCACAAACGAGTCAATGAATTCTATTCCCCCAGGCTCACCTAGACAGAGCAGGGGGGATACTCAAACAAAATTTTGGAGCAGAATCAGTGGCTTCCTCACAGATAAGCTGAGTGTCTTGTTTGCATCTCTGCACACCATACACACAAATACACACAAACACAGAAAAACAAGGCTAAGCAATGCATGCAGAGACACACCCTCGGTTCTCCACCTAGCCTCTTGTTTGGGTTGGAAGCAGTGCAGACAACAAGGCCCCATGCAGACAAGAAGGTGAAAAGTAAGAGCTTTTCATTCCACTAGCTGCTGTGAGCGGGGGTTAGCACCAGAGAACAGCAGTGGCCTGAAGAAGCAGCAGGAGAAATGAGAATTTACCCTCCCCTCTAGGTCCCAATACTAATTCGACAAGAAAGAGCAAGAGGAACTCCAGCTTAACCAGCTTTTTATCTGGAAACTGATAAGCTAACCACTCCTATGACTCCTTTCCATTTTTCTGGCCAACACATTGCCTCTAAAACCTCCCTTAGTGCCTATTATCCCATCACAGAGAGGGACTAGTAAGAGAAACTTGAAAACCCCTTCTGCCACCATGACTTCTTTGGGCTATTTTTTTTTGTTTGTTTCTCATTGTATTTATTACTATTTCTGACCCTTCAAACTCACTGGGGTAATTATCAGTTACTCTGGACTTTGAGAAAAGGCACAGGGGGGAAAAGGCCAACATTAAGTCTGGTCTCAGACTTCAGAGGTTTTACTTGCTAGGAGAAGTTTAATTCTGGAAGTCACTCTATTCTGGCCCCTCCATCAATTACTTTCTTACTGAAATTAAGCAGTACAGCACCCCAGAAAAATTCTCTGTACACAGAGCAGTTTCCACCATGCTGGCAGTGCAACGCCTCTCTGGCTTGGACACAAAGAATTTTCACACCCAAAGAAAGCACTTGTTACTTGTAACAGCCTTAACCACCTAGCCAATGGATGTCTCCTCTTTTCAAGATAAAGCCACAGAGGACCCTGGCTCTCTCTCCCTTGTATTCTCCCCTTGAGCAGCTGCTGCTGCACTACTGCACAAACAGAAACAATCTCCTAGATCTCTGTTAAAGGGATCCGAGTTCAGAGTCACAGCCACGTGCTCATCAGCAACCCCATTTCTCTTGTCTCTCTCTACACAGGTAGGATGATCCCACACCAGAGGTGCACACGTAGCTTGTGCGAGTCAAGACACCCCACTGAGTTCACCGAAGTGCTCAGGTGAGAACCCAGAATCAGTTTCTTTACCTGTCTGTGCCACAGATGGTGTGTGACAGCACTCAGATGACACATGCACAACATAGGTCTCTGAACTAACACTAACCCCACAGTGCCTTTATGTCTCCCACCTCACATCTGAAACAGGCACCTCTGCCTTCACCCAGGGTCAGACTTAATCCTGCTGTATTCCATTCACAGTCCTGAGTGCAGCCTCAAACCACAACTCTGGACAGGACATGGATAGGGAATTGTGAGCACAGTACAAAAACACAGGGTGCTCTCCCTGGCCTTTAGAAGAACAAAGAGGCAAAGGAGAATGTAGACTCAGCCTTGAGGGAGGCTCGTAATGGCTTTCCTCATTCTGCACACAGCAGAGCATCTACAAGCCACAGAAAAAGGGCTTGGAAGACAGGGATGGTTGAATCCTAGTGAGTTAAAGATTTCTCTTTGCCCAACAGTACGCTCAGAGTTGCATACAGGTAAGGTACAGAGTGATACAGACCCTCCCCTGCCAACCTCAGCAACATGAACTCCATTATCCTGTTCTATGGAAAAGAATACCGGAGATACAAAGGGCCTGTCTCTGGGAGCCATCCCCATCCAAGTCCTGAGAGCACACCTGAAACAAAGAGCTGCCCTCTGACACAGGGAAACTGTCCTCACCCCAGTCAGCCCCTCTGCTCTCTGGCCCACGTAGGACAGAGAAAAGAAGTAATGAAATAGCACTGGTGCCAGAAGTCAGCAGGAAGCAAGCTCCCCCCCTCTTTCTCTTTCTCTCTCTTTCTCTTTGTGTGTTTCATCCTTCAGGACACAAACCTGCAAGTGCGCTCGTTTAACTCAAGCTGCCTCGACTTGCAACGTGAGTCTGTGAATTTGCAGGAACATTTACAGGTCTGGGGATCTTGTACAAACAAGTGCTTTCTCCTCTCTGAGCAAGGCTCACAGTGACTGCAAAAAGGCAAAAGGAAAGATGTCTAAGCTACAGCGCTTCAGCAGAAAGAAAATACACATGCAACACCCTGAACATCAAAGCAATCCCCTTGCCCCCTCCCGCAGCCCCCATGCTGCCAACTGGAGTGCCGTGGGCTGATGGATTTTCCAGCAGCACCTCAACAGCCCCAGGACAGCAACCCCTTGCATTAGCGTAGAGAAAGAAAACAGGCCTTCTGCACAGTATTCACAAATGCTGCATTGGATCCATTGGCTCAGGCCAGAGGGAGAAAGAAGGGGAAAGCAAGGATGGGAAGGTGAGAGGTCCCAACCAGCTATTGGCACATCAGTGAAAGGAATTCTCTGAAGTGGACTATTCGAGTAGAAAGAGGCCAGCAGCTAAACGAGTTAAATACACAGGGTTTCTCCTCCCCTGGAAAGCAGCTGGGCTCCAGCATCACATGCTGACCCCTGCAGCCAGCACTGCCCTCCTTTCTGTAAGCCCCATCCCAACCTCACCACCTAGGAGTCTCCTATGGAGGGGCCATGAATTTACAATGCAGAATTTTGTGAACCACCATGAGAGGGGCAGAGCGAAAGAGACAGAGAGAGACAAGCCACCAAATCCAGCAGAAAGAGAGGGGAAAAAAAAAACAAAACAGAGAGGCCCCTCTGGCTCCCCAGCACCCCCTCTCTGGCTTCCCACTGTCCCACCTCTCCTCTCCACCTGTGACTCCACCAGACACGCACGCACATGTGCACACGCGCGCACACACACACACACACACATGCATGGCAGATGCCAGCCTGCCTGTCACCAGTCATCATAGCAGTGAGGACACGAGACAAGTGGTGGAAAGCAGATGACAGAGTTGCAACTGGAAGGCGTGAAGAGGTGCAGGGTACTCATCCACCCACCACACTCTTGTGCCTTGGGACAATGGTCACCACTGATGATTAGAGAGCCAAGCAAGCTAAAGCCACCTTCCCTGAGACAGCCTTCGTGCCAGAGCAGTGCCACCACCAGCAGTGCCCCTGCAGGATTTGCAACCCACCAGTGACTGGGAGGGGAGGGTGAGATTTGAGCGAGCAGCAAGCAGGCAGATTGCTTTGGGGAGAGGGAGGGAAGAGAGTCTACAAGCAGAGGACACAAACGTACAAGCTGAGTGGTTTGTACCGGCCTTTCTTGCGCTTTCTCTTTTGACCCTTCCCCCTTCCTCGCTTTGATTTTCTGGAAGAAAAACAAAAAAAAAAAAAAAAAAAAAAAAAAAAAAAGAGAAAGAGAGAGAGGGGGAAAGAAAGGGAGAGATAGAGAGAAAACGGAAGAAAACGCAAGGAAGAAGAGAAAAAAAATACAGCCATGTGCCTTGCTGGGAGGGGAGAAGCACATTAGGCAGGACTGGAGGGTAAATCCCAGGGCTGAAGCACAGATCTCCACCTCGCACGCACATTCACCGGCTCCGGCGCTCCTGTCAGCTCCGCAACCAGCCTGCCCACAGCCAAGCCAACACCAGGGAGCTCAGCAGAGGCCACCTCCTGCAAGGCTGCTGCGAGCAGAGGCGGATCTGCCTCAGAGAGGCACCTGCCCCCTCAAGAGAGGGGCAGTGGGAAAGGGGCAGGGGGTGAGAGGGAGAAGGAACAGAAGGCTTTGTGAAAGCATCACGCCACCGCGGTGAGTGCAGACAACCATTCCAGGCGACAAGCACAGGTGCACAACGACTGACCAAAGGCAACCTGAGTGAAAGAGCTCTCTTCAGGGAAGAGGAAACCACTCTGGCCTGATGCACTGCCCAGCACTGGGCCTAGGAGGGGGCAGCTGAGCTCCAATAGCTCTGCTGCAGGGTGGGGGGCAATCTTGCCTTGGGATGGGAGCACTCCACAGACAAGGGAAGAGATCTGATCTCGGAGAGAGTTATCCAACCTGAAGGCTTTGCTCATCCACCTCACCTCCTGCCTGTGGTTCAGAGGACTACAGGAGATATTACTTGGATGTCTGTAACATCTCCTCTGGCAGCCTCTATTCTGAGTACTGAAGAGTAAAGAAGGGGAAAAGGATGGCCTGACCTAGTTATTTTACCCAGGAGATAATCAGCAAGCAGCTTTCAGTTCTTCCCTCCTTTCCCTCCTATCACCGTCCACATGGACCTGCCAGACAGACTAGCAGATGGAGCCAAGGTACTGACTCCATTCTGAAAAATTCACCAGTTGCCTCTGATTCTTGGGCAGGAACTGAGCAGGCAGAGGCTAGGATATGCAGGCCTGGACGTTAACCATGGAGATCCCTATGGGCCTTTGAGAGCACAGGGAGCGAGGGAGGCTGGAGCCTGTACTGCTCCTTGAGCCACATCAGCACAGGAGCAAGGGAGAGACATGCAAAGAGAAGGCCCTAGGCAAAGCACCAGGGCTTAACAGGCAAATGAGTCCCAGCTCTGAGGCAGTTCAGCAAAGGCTCCCTCGTTCCCTGGTGCAGCCCACCTCGGGAGAGAGCTGTCAAAGGGAATTGGAGGGACAGAAGAGAAAGCACCATAGGTGTCTCCTAGGCCCTGTTCAAGTCGTCTCACTGGAACGAGTGTCAGAGCATCAGCTCAATCCCAGTTCTGCCCTACATGTCAGGCAGGAGTCACAGGGAGACGGTGAGGGGAAGCAAATCAACCTGAAGGGAGGAGAGGGGTACCAATATAACAAGACTTTCAATCCGGCACAAATCAAAGCACACCAGTCTCTCCCATCCCTTCCCTTCCTTCTCTGGGGAGTGCAGAACCAGCAAAGAGCAGACAAGGTGCTGTTAGAAGAGGAAAAGTGAATGCAACACAGTCTGAGCTGGCTGCTACAGCCACATCCCATCCTCACCAGAGCTCACACAGACCAAACTCTCACACACCTTCAAACTACAGAGCCACACAGACCGACCGTCCCCGACACGGCCCTGTGCAGAGAGGATTATTGGCTGCATGCAGTCTGGTGCAGCCAGGAGCAGATTTCCAGGGGGAGGAGGAGAGGCTGGAAGGCAGCTAGAAACATACAACCACCAGGAGAGGGGTGAAAGAAGCTCTCTCCCTCTCCTCTGCTTCTTTGGTCTCAGATTCAGCCTCATCTCCAAATATTCACTTCTTCCTCTCCAATTCTGCACCTCTAAATGGCAGAGTTGCTTTCCCAGCCACGTGCAGCCCAGCCAATCCTCTTGCTCAGAGAGTTCGTTCTTTCTTTTCAACGTTGTTTTGTATTTTATGCTCATCCCTGCAACTACTGCAGGATTAGAGCTTATTTTTCTACTTTCCACAACCTTTTTACTTTGGGGAGGAAGTAAAGGGAAGGTTGTGACTTAATCTCCTTCACGCCACTAAAGCAAATCCATCAGATTCAAAAAACCCGTCATGAAAGCCTTCACCGAGACCCAGCTAGGACATCCACCTCCCTTTACACCCTCCCAGGTCCCCACCCAAACAAAACCAGTGTCATATCTTGCATGGCAGCAGTCCTGCCTCCACCAGGCCTTTACTTTCACCTCTCCCTGTAGCCAGCAGAGTTCCTACCAAAGCTGCTGTGAAAGAAGCCAGCAAGTACTCACTCAAGCAGCAAGAAAAAAATTAATAATAAAGAAAGGCAGCAATATGCAGTAACCAGAAACACCCCAGGAAGAGGGAAGGGGAGAATGGGGGCTGCACCTTGAATCCATTCCAGCAGGACAGACACGATGGGACTTCCCTGATTCGGGAAAAAGCATTAGGAATGACTGCCATGGCCATGGGTCATGCAAGGTCCATGTCTGGGGTATGAAGGAAGGATCATCAGATCTGGGTTTCTGTGACCACCTGGAATGGATTCAGAGCATCGCCCCATGCAGTACCATATGCCATTTCCAAAAACACCTTATTAAAGTGAGCATATCCAACCAAAGAAAAGGGCAAGGGGCAGTGGGGAGAGGAAATGCCAACCAACCACCAAAAGAGAAAGGAGGAAAGGCTTATCACTTACTTTTCTTGTTTGTTTTTGACATCTTTCTTTGGTCTGTGGGGAAAGACAGAACAAAGGCCTGATTAGAAGGGAGCTTATCACATATACTTCTGGTATTATCCCCAGTTCCCACTAAGTCCAGGGAAAGACATGTACAGGCAGCATTGCAGGATGCCCATGGCACTGGTTAAGTGGTCCGTCTCAAAGTGGTTTTGCTCTCCTGTTGACCCTTGCTGGCAGCTAGTGCCAAAAGATCCCAGGATGCAGGCTAGCACTGTCCACTCTATGATAGCTAGAGATGGAAGAGCCCTGACAGCAGACGGCTTCTTCTCCCAGGCTCAGCCATCCCACTGCAAACCAACCAAGAAGGCTGCAGAAGCATCTGAACAAGAGTCCCAACCCAATGGCAGAACAAAGGAAAGGCTCAGAGTAAGTTTATTGCAAGAGGAACCAGTGCTGCTCCAATTCTCACCTGCAGTCACATTTACTGTGCTGTAAGAAGCTCATGTGTGATATGTGCTGACTCTGATGGGGTTTAATTCTCATGATCTGGAATGAAAGAAACAGAGAGGGTCACTGCCTGTTCACTCTTCATGTTCACAGCCCCAGATCAGGCTGCTGTGCAGCTAAGCACTCACACCCCAGGTGCTCCTGGGAAGAGCAGGGCAGAGTTCGAGCTAGCTCTGAGGCCCTGTTCTCCCAGCCAGGGAAGGCCTTTGATCACAAGCGAGCAGCAACACCAGACTTGTGCCAAAGCTCTGTTTGCTCATGCATGCCCAGTGCCAGCACTGGTGGACTGCCTTGGAGACAGGCATGGGAGGGGGTGTACCCCCATAGCAAGGTCCTCAATGAGCCCTCCCTGGCTGATGCTGGACAGACAGTAGCTGAACATCCAGCCTGCTCGCGCAGAAGCCATGCTTCAGTCTTACACAAAGGTCCCAAATGAAAATTCCAAATCCAACTCCTTTTCCTTAAGCCACCATTCCTTCCCAGCTGACGTCTCATTTTCTCAGTAACTTGACACACAAAATGAATCTGGATATCTCTGTTTAAAAGAGTCCTGCAAAGCCAGACATCACCCAGACCCCAGCCCCAGGTACCTCCAGGGAAGTTATTTAGAAGCTATGGAATACTGTCACATTCTCTTAACCCAGCAAACAGCTGGAAAATTAGCTCTAGAGATCTGCTTTATTGCCTCTGACCCTTTAGAGGCATGCAGGCATAGCAGTCAAGAACTGTAATTCAGCAAGGAGTGGTAGATAGAAAACCATCCCTAGCTACACCAACCTAGTGTGGCTGAAACCTGCAAGTGGAAAAGCAGTATGGGGAATCATGAAAGGGCACAGGCAGGTTCTCCAACAGAGTTCAAACACAGCCCAAATTTCAAGTAAAAGGTTAATCACTTAGCACTGCACATCTCTCATTGATATTGATAAAAACTGACAGCCATTCAAGAGGCTAAGGGACAAAAGCAGGTGAGGGAGCTATGGGTTACAGGTAATGGGCACCAGCACAATTTTGGACAAGAGCTGGGATCCAGTCTGACAAACAAGGGCAGTAACTAAGCTCTCTAAAGCCATTTGCATCCTTCCCCACAGGTCCAGCCTTTGCTATCATGGCCACCTTCAGCAGCCTCCAAACAAAGGAGGAAGAGCCCAGAGGCAGAAAGGTTTTTCCAACTGACATAGAACAGCTTGTTTCAAAGATCCCCTTTAACCCCTGTTGTGGCAGGATACCAAAGACCCAAATTTCCTCCTCTGTTGGTACAGGTTGACCTCACATGCCCTTCAGGAGAGAGTACTGACAGGTTCTCCCCTTTTGCCCTAATCAGCCGCCTTCAGAACAACAGCTGTGTGTAGACTTAAGGTGGTGCAAGGGCCCAAGGAGTATCTTCTTCGAGAACTCAGAGATAACACCATCAGAAATGCTCCTTTGCATTCTCTAAGCACAAAGTGCTCCTTTGCTTTCTCTCCTTTGCATGCTCCTACCTACTGTATTTGGGCAGGAGCCAAAACACAGACTCTCCTCTTAGCCTTAAATAGACACAGGCAACTCATCTTTTAACCCTGCGTGGTGTAACACAGAGCACCAGGGTCAGAAGAAGGGTTCCCTGGAGAAGGTTACACTTCCTCTGAATTAGCTGGGAGGTGGGACTTGAGGTGGCTGTGATGGCTGCCTTGCTTCCTTCCAACCAAGTATGGCAGATTGCAAGCTGGACCCTCACCTCCATTGTGACGTTGTACACATCCACAGGGACACATTCTAGGCCCTCATCGCCGCAGCAACCCGCACATCTCATCAGAGGCACACAGGATGGCTTGAATATGTACTCCACCTCATCAGGGTACTCCTGGAAAATGTCCACCAGGGTCTCAATAGTCCTGCAGAAGCTGCGCTCGTAGACTTCCAGGAATTTGATAACTAAAAGAGGAATGGAGGGAATAAGTTAATGCAAACTTAGCTCAAGAATGTCTAGCACTTCACCCCTTAAAGTGAGCCAGACAGTTGCAACACAACTACCCTATGCTCTTCACTAACAGTCTTGCAGGCCTAAATCCATTGTCTGTGCTCTACATACACACACATCAAGTGGGAAGGGGAAAAGACAATCTCCTCCTACAGCTGCTTCAGGGCAAAGGCAAGATGGACAAGAGAACTCACTGCTTTCCTGGTACCATGATGTATGCCACAGGTGACCCTTTCCCAAACCTCTTCTCTGCTATTCCCCATACTCCTGGTATGCTGCCACTAAGAATATCAGCTCAGCCAAAAAAAACCCCTGAAGCTGCAGCAGATAATCTGCACTCTGGACTAAGGCCCTTCACTGGTTTGCCCTTTGCTTCCTTTCAAAACAGTCTGTGGATGCCCCAGTGGTTTTAAAGCCAGAAGCATCCTTTGTATGGACCTCAGCACACAGGAACTTCTGAGAGCAAGCAGAGGCTCTGAACCATGGAGCTATGCATCTTCACCCGTCCCATCATCTACCTCTTTTGGCCATGCAGAACATCCACCTCAGCAGGTCACCACGGCACCATGGCAGCATCCACTACAAGTCACAGCCTCCGTGTCTCCACACTGACCACTTTCCCAGACTGAGGAACCAAGCCACCCACTGAAAGATTCACAGTAGGCTCACAGCACCCCCAGGATTAACCAGACTATATATTTGGCTACTGAACCACAATGAGACAGTGTGGGAGGGGGAACAGGGTGGATCTGCCATTATCCCATGCCTTCCCTACGAATGGAGCAAACACTAACTGCTTGAGATCTGCAGTGATTTCACAAGTATTTCTCAATGTTTCCCAGTCTCTTGCCAAAGCTTCATTTTGCTGCTTGGTCAAGGGTTGGAGAGATTTAAAGAGATGAGAGATAGTATAGATAAGTACACACACACAAACCCCAGGTGCTAGTACAGTACTGCAAACAATGAGTACCTGGAGCCCTCCAGGCCTCCTAGTTCTAGCACCACACTGGCAACAGAGGATGTCTCACATGGAGCAGAGGGCAAGAGTATGCACAAGGAGATAGTACCTGCCCTATGCTGTTATGCACTATAATGATCCACCTGTACAGTATGCAGAGTCCTCCAGCACCAAGGTTGATAACTCAGAGTGATAAGAGCAAACTGCTTGCATCATGGAAAATAATGGTCTCCAGTAAGCGCTTCTAAAGTGCCCTGAACTTGTGACAAACTGGCATAAAGGTTACTTTGCCACAAAAATGCAAAAGCTGCAGGGCTTGGAGCTCACAGCCCGCAGTTAATTGTTGAAAGTTAATTCTAGGTCATGTGGGACTGACAGTGCCATAGTGCCGAAGTGCTGAGAGCGGGTACAAGAGGGGAGGAGCTTCCCTCCAAGGAGTTTGAAGTGTCAGAGAGCGTGAGCAGCTATTAAAAGAGAAAGTGGCTTGTGAAAGGGAAATGTAGCCTCGCAGGCAGGGACTGCTTGTTGATATTCCTTGTCTAGAAGACAATGGTTCTGTTCCTTGTTCCTTCCCTTCCTCTTCCCTCCTCCCCTAACTGCCGTATGTCTCTTGTCTGTTCTCCTATCTAGTCTGTGACTACCTCCTTCTCCTCCTTCTTCCTGTTCCCCTTTGGAGTGACCTTAGTCACCGCCTATGTTCCAACAAGTTGAACAATTTAATACGTGGGAAATTCTGCGGGCACAAAGACAGTCGCTGAACTGCACTGTTGATTATTCACACTGTGCCAGACACAGGATCTGAGAACTCTGGCAGTAAAGACATAGTTCAGGATAAAAATGCTTACAGACCTACGTTAAGGGGAGGGACGGAAAGTAAGAGGGAGGGAAAGCAGCAGTTACCTGTGCAGATCAAATGCTGCTCACCACGCCAGTCTGGGGCATAAAGGAGGCACAAAACAAGAGCAGAAAAGTGAAGTGAAACTGACTGGCGACTGTCATGCTTTCCTAAATATTTGCACTACCCAGGCATTTGGATTACACCAGAGAAACCAGACTACAGATTGGCCCCAGAACAGCACGCTGAACTTCTTTTGCAGGGCCTTTACTTTCACAGCTGCACCCTGACAACTGTACTTGAGATCTGAGAGATTTGACAGGACTAAATCGTTCACATGAAGAATTTGGGAGTTTCTACCTTTAACACATGATGGTTTTCCAAAGTCTGAATCAGCCTCTGAAAAGGGCATCTTTCCCTAGCTGCCAGTCAGAAAACCCTGCCACAAAACGCATATTGCCTTATTTTGCTGGACACAGAGCATTCACATGGAGACTGCACAATACTCTGTAGTTCATTTGCACAGTTACCACCCAAACCAAACCGGAGCACATGACTGAGGTACAGTCAACCTCGCAGCAAAGCCCTGCCCCTTCTACCATACCTACACTTACTCCTATGTACTGGGAGTTATATTCCACACTTTGCTGGGCTGACTCTGCTTGTTCTTCATTTCTATTGGTCATGTCACACATGGAAGAAGGTCTCTTTCATGGGGAAGCACAGGAAGGTCACAGAAAGACTAACACCACTAGGTCTGCTCCCTTCCTGCAATCTGGGCTTCAGCCCACGTTAGTAGTTAATCCCACAATTAACTCACACTCCTACCCTGCAAGACACCTCCAGATTTGAGTCAGAGGTTCTTCGTTGTGAATGGAGGGGGAAAGAAGATTAAAACGCAGACAGGACCCACATTAACTCTTCAAGGCAGACTTTAAGTTCAAATTTGGAGCAGTTGAGTGAGAACATGCTGGACTAGAAAAGGAGAAAGTCTCTGATCATTTTGTCGCCCTCCCCATCAATGGCTTAGCAGCAATACAGACACACTGTTATTTTGAAAATAAAAGTGCAGCCACAAGTACTGGTGGTTTCCCTTATTTATACCAGAAAATCTTTTCCCGTGAAACAAAGACTGTTTGTCTGACTCCTCTACAACTTCCTGTGCCACAAAACATGTGGAAGCCTCTCTTGAGCTCAAAAGGGTAGGGGCTGAAGCTAAAATAACAGTCTCCAACCAGAGTAAGTCCATCCCAAATAAAAAACCTGTCACAGTTTGACAGCTCAGAGGAAGTATAAAATGGCCAAAGATACAAACCCACCTTTCAGCCCAAGCCCCTAAGAGCTTCAGAGGAAGAAACTACAGGACTGTCCTTGGGTAACAGAGGCCAGTCATCACCTCCTCTTCATAGAGGAGAAACTGAAGTATAGAGAGAGGACCTCTAAGTTCAAACCACAGGACAGACGTAGAGCCAGGAGTCCTGACTTTTATTTCACAAATGTATCTACATTGCAGAACCTGAAATAGCACCAGGACAATAATGCTGAAGTCTCACCACTTATATTGCCAGACCAGCTTGTCCTGCAATCCCATCAACCTTCTTGTGACAGAAGTTAATTCTGTTTGATTCTTTCCCTCTCCAGGAGGGATTTGTTGGGCACAACAAATGGCACAGATGAGGACACTAGCTCTTTTCTACCAACAGTAGAGAACTGGTTACCAAAATAAGCCTCACAGCAGGCTCCATTTTGATCCCTCTGGAGTCACTGAACCTTCTTCTGTTGACTTCAGCAGGAGCAAGGGTCAAGCGCAACAGGCGGCAGCCCACCAGCAAATCAGAAATTTTGCCAGCACAAAATGGACACCTATCCCAAGCACAGCCTGCCACAAACCTCTGGCAACACACATGGAGTCTGTCACACCAATAAAGTTACAGAAATTGAAACTGACTGCTACAAAAAAAAAAGCCAATCTGGGCTCACAGTGCTGGAGCCCTCTGCTGATCTCTGGCTGGAATAACGCTGAAGGTCACAGCCCCTGGGGACCCTGCAAGACATCTGCCAGACCCTGCCATGCAACAAGTGATCTGCTCTGCTATGCAGGTAAGGGGAAAACATGGTCAGAATGGTCTTAAAGCAGGTGATGATCATCTCAGCCTGAAAGTTGCAAAGTCCACAGCCCCATTTATCCCACTGCTGAACTGAGGACGGCGGACAGAAGCCAACCTCCCGACACGCACAGGGCTACACTAGACAGGAAGCTCACAGGAGACATCTCTGACTAACCAAGGGCTGACTGCCCTTCTGGTCTACATTTACTTGCATGAACCAACGGGGCAGGGAACACTGTCACATCCCGACCTTTGGGCAATCGGAAAGACACAAGATCACAGCAGCTGCAGAGACATCACCTTGTTTCCCCACCAGGCAATGGTCCTGTCCATACTGGACAACCAGGAACCAATTAGTAGAACCCACAGAACCTATCAGAGCCCCAGAGTGCCATTCCCCGAATCTGCAAAGTCTGCTAGCCCAAATCAGATTAAAAAGGTGTATTTTTCAAGCCCGGCTCTTTACAGTGCTTAGTAATTTCCTGACTGCAGGGGTACCTGAGACTGCTGGGAGGTATGAGCCCAGAAAATCATCCTGGACTGCCCCTTTCTCCTCTTCCTCAGAGACCTGCCGTCTGGGGGCTGCTCCGGCCTTTGTTCAGGGATCAGCCCTGGCCACCCAGCCGGGTATCACCAGCACCGCCGGGAAAGAGGCGGGCAGCAAAATTTGACAAATCTCTTCCTACAGCACTGTGGCGAATCCCCAGCAAACTGCTCGCCGCTACTCAGTTCTTTGTGCGCGCCCGTGTGTGTGTAGATATATATATACATATATATATATATATATATATATATAAATGAGCGTGCGTATGTGCACCAGCGCACGCACGCAGTTTCACTCCGAGCTGTGGTAAGCCAGGGGCGGGCTGGGCCAGCCCTGCTGCCCGCCCTGGCACCGCGGCCGCCCCGGAGCCCGGCCCCACGGCCACCCCCGGCCCGGCCCGGCCCGGGCCCGCGGCGTGGGGCGGGGGCGCTGCAGCCGCCACGAAGGGGTTGATGGCGGCGGCGCCTCCCACCGGCAGCCCCCGGTCCCGCTCCCCGGGAGGTGGCGGTGTTGGCCACCGGCGGCTCCGGGGGCTCCTTCCCCCCAGCCCCCGGCCGTCCCCGCCCGCCGGGAAGCCGCCCAGCGCTTACCTTCATTGGGTTTCCGCTCCCCATCCCCCAGGGCAGGCGCAGCCTTCGACAACTGCAAAGACAACAGAAAATCAGTCACAACGCGGAACCGTGACGCGGTCCCGCGGCGCGGGGGGTCGCAGGCAGGGTACCCGGTGGTCCCGGTCCCGTGGCCCCGCCGGGCAGGGGGCGGAGGGAGCCCCGGCGGGAGCGGGCGCCCCCGAGGCCCAGCCGCTCCCCGGCGGGCACAGAGGGACCTTTTGTTCCCCCGGCCCCGGGGGAGCCGAGAGGGACACGGGCGGGACGGCCCCGGGCTGGGCGACGGGGCTGGCGAGGCGGTGTGCCGGGCCCCAGAGACGCCCCAAAGGGAGAAGCGCGTCCCGGGGAGCTGCTGCCAGTGACCGCGGGCGAACACCGGGAGCAAATGCGAGCCCGGCGGAGGGAAGTAACGGGGAGACCTGCTGCTGCCGACACGACCTATGGACCTGGGCACCGCTTCTCCCCGTAGAGGTGAATCTGGCCCGGGAGGGCAGAGAGGGGAGAAGGGCAGCCAGGCACGGAAGGGCATCGCTCCCCTCTCAATGTCACAGATGTCTGTCACCCAGCAGTGGTGGCCACGGAGGTGTCGGCATCTGGCCGGGTGTCAAGGCGATTAACTATGACAGCACCACTTTGCCGACGGACGCCGCCAAACTGCCCGGGTTTTCTTCCTCTCTGATGGAAGGGAGGGCGCACCCTCACCTAGTGGTCCCAGTCCCCAGCCCTGTGTGGATCCCATTCCTGCGCTCCTCAGCTTTCCCTGGGCCGAAAACGAAAAGGCTGCAAGCTCTGCAGTCACTCCTGCTGCCTTTTGGGACTAGGGACATTTCCAAAGCACTGATGCAGGCAGGAGTGGTGACAGGTAACCCACCCCCAAAATGGTATGGAGAAATATTACACCACTTTACTAAGGAAGTCTTTTTAATTCCAGGTGAAACAAGAACGCCACTCTTCCTGCTCCTCATGAGGGCTTTAGCTCTGACGTAACTTTCCAGCCAAGTCAGGCTTCCCCCTGCTGTTCTGTTCTGAACCAAAATGGAAAAAGCCAAGCTTTCTTCACTTCTCCAAGGTATGTTGCCACCTGTGTGATGCCATCCACCCCAGAACCTGCTGCTTTTCAGCAGAAGCCCATAAGAAGCATGGGGATCTATACAAAATACTGCTTTGTCAGCTATATGCTGTGCTCAGGCTTAGAAAAAGGTCCTCTGACGATGCAGCTGAAGACAGAACTGAATTAAGGCCAAGTCCACCCCAAGCTCACAACAAGAATCTGCCACCTATGGTCTTCTAAGCAGTCCTGTGCACAGGGCAGCGCCACCATCCAAGCAGCCGAAAATGTCAGCTTTTAAAAGGAGGGGGCAAGAGAGCCAGCTAGAAGCCCCTGTCCCAGACATTCCTTTGTGTCTGTGCATAGTTCCCTTTGTCTAAGGTCCCCCGACTGAACTTGTTCCTCATTTCAATCAAAAGTCTTTCTGTACCTGGGCATAACTTAGCAGCCCAGACCTGAGTTGCCCCACGTGTGGATCTGTTTCTCCTCTGGGGAGGAGGGGGGCTGTGTGCCCAGTCTCAGTGCTGTGACAACACTTTAAAAAGCAGGTTCCTAGAAACAGTTTCATTCCTGAAGTGTGAAGGTCACTGCAACAGCACAAACAAAATGGAGGCAGCAGAGGCTGCAGCGGCCTTCCAAAGCCACTCAGTGCCTGACAATCTATGAGTAAAAAGAAAACCGCATCAAGGGCAGAAAAGCCTCAATCTGCTATGGCACAGGAAGAGGATCATGAGCCAAGTCAGTTTATTCAAGTAACAATGCCTCCAAGACTTTTCACAGAGGGATTTCTGGTTCACACACAAAATGACCATGACAGACTGAGTAAAATTACCTTGGAGACACCTTGAGGGTCATTTTTACCCATTCTCTGTGCAAAACTACCCAGCCAGCTGCCAAGCCCACTGCCTCCTCACATGCAAGCACACAGGCTGCACAAGTGATGAGAAGCAGAAGCAAGCCACGCACACACTTCCACTACTCACCTGTGCCTAGCCAGCACCTCACCCTGCCCCTGATGTAGTGGAGCAGGAGCCAGAACACTCTCGCAGTGCTCACCTGGACCTGGGATGTGATCTGACCCCAAAGATGGGAAACGAGATCAGTGCAAAGTGGGCAAAGAGCTTTCCCAGGGGAGCTCTCAGCAGAAACTACAAAGGCTTCCCAGAACTATCAGTAACAGGCTCTCTGATCACTATTCCAAGAAACTTTTCTGCCCTTTCAGCAGTGCCTTTCACCTGTGCCTAGTGCCCTCAAAGCACGTCCACTAGAACAGCAGGTGAAGCAGGGCCTTGTGCCTCACTTCAAAACAGTCTGCTGTGTATCAGACATGGGGAACCAAAAACATTCCCCAGGACAAGCAGGCCAACTGTGCCCTTCGGTAGGAGCCTGAAGGTCATGCTCTCCTCTGCTGGCTTTTGGCATTACCCAACAGTTCTGTAACACAATTTCCTTCCAATAGATTTTCAACATTTCACAGTAGTGTGGAAGCAACCCCCGGCCTGGCCTTGAGAGTAGGACAAATGAGCCCAGGAAGGGGGCTGACAGAGGAAGCTCCTTTCTGTGCTCTTTGCAGGTTGTAGCAAATGCACATCCCTCCCTCTATGGGGTAAAACCTTCTCTAATAAATAAACCCACTTCACACCATACACGTCTGTACCTTCCCTTCTCCCCCAGTCCCTGACCAAAGCAAGCTTTGCTCTGAAGGGAGAGAAAAGGTTAATCAAGTCATTCCTGTCTAACCATCACCCCCCTCACCACCACCACCAGCACTCTTTTTCTCCCTTCCCCTCCCCCTAATCTGTGCAGGCTCATTAAAAGAGCTTTGTAACTGTTTAGGACTGGAACAAACAATCCATCCACTTTAAGAGGGACTCTGGGACAGGAGTTAAGGCACTTTTCGTCTTAGGCACTAGAAATTCTCAGCGTTTTCTGCTTAGGAGAGGGGGGGAATGGGACTCACTGCACTCCTTCTCCATTGTACACAGACAGAGGTCAGTAATCCTGCAAGCTGCCAGCACAGCCAAGGGACCTCTGACAGAACAGACAGGAGAATGGATTTGGGGTTGCTCAGGAATCAGTGAGCCCCTCAGACATCCCTCTCCCTTGCTCTCAAAGAAGTGCTCCTCTTTCCAGCCCTCTGTCCTCAGAGCACAGAAACGGCTCTGGGGAAGGTGACCTGCTGAATCCCAGCTGCCTAAGGGCTGTGGAAGCAGGTTCTGGTGGCTCCCCATCGTGGTGTGGTGCAGAGGCACAGCAAAGGCAGGCAGCCTGGTGGGTGTGCGATCATTAACAGTCTAGTCACAGGCTTGTTCTCCCTCCCTCAGTGTCTGATCACTGCCTCTTCCCTATGGCAATACAGCTGGTATATCCAGGTCTCTCTGCTGTTCTGGGCAGGAGGGGAAGAGCTCCCAGACCAACATCAGGAGTGACCTGTCACCAGGCTGGCAGCAAGACCCACAGATGAAGGAAGACGGGGAATAACCACCTGTCCCCCATTCTCTAGGAAAGGGAAGACTGGGAGGGACAACAATGCAACCTCTCCAATCCCATGCTGTGTGAAGACTGTGTACACCGTTCAGCACTATCAATCAGCTGGGAGGGTGGCACTGCAAAAGTGACTTTCCTTCGCTAGCCTGCATGGAAACGTATCACCACCAGTGGAGGCAGACACTTGTGGCATCAGTGCTGCCCAGACACGACCATGAAACAATTTCCCACCATCTAAGTCTTGCTGCAGGAGCAACCATAACAACTACCTCAGTAAGGAGTCATCCCCCTGAACCCTCACCAGAGGAGTGCTGTGATTCCTGCATCCCTTCTCCTTCACTTCCAGGAAAGCTGCCTGACACATGCTGGACCCTGCTTCCCCAACTCAGACTCTGTCAGGGCTTTTATTTAATGCTCTCTAATGTGCCTGGCTAGCTAGATAGATCAGCCTGACAGCCAGATAAATATTATCATCAAAGCACAAACCCTAGTCCTGTGTGAAGAGTCATGCCTTCTGCCATGCACAGAGTCATCACCAAGCTGCCTACGTGAGATCTGCTGGTATTTCTAACATTCCTATCACTGTGGTGCCCGGACAACCAACGGACAAATAAGGACAGAACCGAAGGGCAGATCTCACCGTCGATCTGCCTGAGCACTTACACAGCCCACATCACCCAGGTACCTGAACCTCTAGCTATCTCTCGTGTCTGTCCCTGCAACATATCCCCCCAAACTCCTGTAATTCTTCCCTACCATTTCTTCCATCATTACATTGTTTTCTCATCTGCACCATCCTCCAGCCTAGGAGGAAAGGCAGCATGAGGCTTTCATGAGGACAGATCTCGGCTCTACCTGATCCGCCGTTTCATCTTCTGGGGAAGAGGAAGGGGAGGGGAAAAGGAACAAGGGGAGGGTTAAAGGGTGTTATCACTGGACACCAATACAGACTTGTCTGTTCTATAGGTGGAGAACAGATGCTACTGTACAATTTTACTGAGGAGCTGGGAGGCAAAGAAACTCCTATTCTGGGTGATGGTGGAAAAACTCCCGGAGAGCAGAAACAATTGTCCCACCAGCCAAATCTGGCAGGAAGGCAGCAGGGAGCTGCTCTGCCACACTCAAGTGAGAGTGCGCCTCAGTTCCCATCGAGCACAGCCGAGCACAGCCTAATGTGCGGCTGTCACTGGATAAAGTAGAGATATAACAGGCTAGAAACAAAGCGTGCAGTGCTTGCATGACTTCAGTTACAGCTGAAATGGCTCCTAATTGGGGAGTTGCCTTCCAGCATCGGTGCTGAACAAACAATGTGAATAACTGATTAGTTCACAAGCGACGTTTATTTTCACGATTGTGGGAGATGATCTGGCCCGCGCTCTCTCCAAGTGCCGAGCAGAAATGGCAGGAGAGAACTAACCTGTTAAAACCTTTAAAACGTGCCTGCCTGCCTCACGAACAGCCACCTTCACGTGGGCACTGTCTAAACCCCTTAATATGTCTTGGCAACACAGCCCTCTGGACTCTTTAGAAAACACATTTATAGGACAGGTTTACAAAGAAAACTGCCCTTCTTTTTTTCTTTAAAAAAAAAAAAAGGAAAGGAGGAAGAGTTGGTTTCTAATTCCTCAAGAATGACAATAAGGTAAAAGTGATTGAAGAGGAAGAGAAAAATCTTTGGTTTTGTAATCTCTATGCAGGAGATCTATATTTTGATTTTTTTTCTTTTTTTCTAATCTGGAAGAAATTCTGGATCCATTTTGTCCTCTTTGATCTCTTATTTGTTTTTCCAGCTAGGCATTTTGAACTCCACACGGCGGCACGAACCCGAGCTGGGACCCAAGGCAAATATCGCCGAAGCAGCCTTTTGCAATGTCAGGAGACCCGAGGCTGATGCAAGAAGGCAGCGCGCTGCCTCCCTGCCCCGCGCCCCGGCGGGACCCCACGGCCGCGCCGCGCCGGGAGCCCCGCGCCGGGGCGCGCTTATGTGCGCGGGCACTCCGCACGGCGCTGCCGCTGCCCCGGGGCCCCGCGGAGCTCCGGGCAGCGCTGTCCCTCCGCAGCAGCACCGCACACGTGTCTGTGCTGCGGGCACCCACCCGCACCCGGCGCCAGCGGCGCGGCCGCACCGCACCGAGCAGGTGGGAGGCAAAGGGGGGCAGCGAGAAAACAAAAAAAGGGGGGAAAAGTATTGTCGGCCGTCTGCCTTCCCTCCTCCTCCGCTACGCGGGGCACAAAAGCCCCCGTCCCGCCGCTTACCTCCGCGCTCTGCAGATAGAGCAGCGCCGCCAGCCCCCAGCGGATCCAAGTGAGCAGAAAGTTCATGGTTGCCGGCGCACGCCGCGAAGCGGGGCCCGCCGTGCTCCGCCTCGCCGCCGCCGCCCCGCTGCCGCCGCCGCCCCGCCGCGCTCTCGCCCGCGCCTCCTCCGTGCCCGCCGCCGCCTCCTGGGGTGCTGCCGGCCGGGCGCTGCGAAGGGTTGCGGGGTAAGGGGGGTTCCTCTTCGGGGTCTCCGGTTTCACCCCTCCATAAGCCCGGCTCTCCGCCGGCCCCCGCTGCTGCTTTCCGTGGGCGCTCCGCCGGGCCGAGCGCAGGCTCCGCGGCAGCCCTGCCGCCGCCCGGCCCCCGCCGCCGGGCAGTCCTAGCTCCACAGCGGCGCCCGTCCGCGGCGCTCTCCCCGCGTCGGGGCAGGCAGGCACCCGCGCCGCGCTCGCTCGGATTCGCGCACTCACGGCAAAGTTTGCGCGGAAACTTTCAATGCATCTCTTTTCCTGCGCCCCCTCTTCGCGGCGGCTGCCTCCGGCGGCTCCCCGAGCCGGGGTCGCCTCCCCGGGAGAAAGGGGCTGATTCCGCCGCCGCTCGGCCCGACCCCTCTCCGCAAATCGGGGTGGTGGTGGCGGAAAGGACGAACAGAGCGTTTTCCTTCTGTCCTCTCCGTTACTGTCTCTCCCTCTCTCTGTTCACCGCTTTAAAAAAAATCAGAATAGTAATATATGAAAAAAAAAAAAAAAAAAAAAAAAAAAAAGAAAAAAAAATCCAAGCTGGATAGAGAGGGAGGGAACTGGGGCGTGGGAAGGCTCTGTAGAAAAGGGAGGAAAAAAAAAATCCCAGCGGATCAAAGTATAGGTGGGGAAAAAATAAATTAAACGAGAGGATAAAGCAAGGCGGCAAGCTAACAGCAGGTCCCGGTGCCCGGGGAAGGCTGCTCCCGTGGCGCGCTGTCCCCCGCCGGCGCGGCGTGCGCTCCTCGCCCCCGGCGCGGCGGCAGCCCCGCTCCGCGCACTCCAGCGGCGGCTCCGCGCAGCGCCCGCCCCACCGCCCGTCAGCACTCTGCAACTGATCACAGCGGCCACGGGGAGAGACGCTCCGGCAAGTCCCACCTCCTCGGCGATGGCCCGGCCTCCTCCCCGCCCTCCAAGCCGTAGCCCCGCGGTTCCGTACGCCACAGCCGTAGCCCCGCGGCTCGCACATTACGAACCCGGCTCTCTGCCCTGCTTTTTCGCCGCGCTTTCTGCCGTGCCGATGGATACATGTTCGGGTCAAAATTCACTTTGCCCGTGGGAATTGTTCCAAAGTCCAGCAGAGCCATTTGGGGAGAGGGGCGGCGGGGGACAAACTGTAATCACACCCATCATCTGACCACCCCCCAGGACGTGGCTTTTCATATACAGGGATTTCTTAGCACCTATGTGTTAAAGGGCTGAAGGAGCGTTATCCTCAGGTGGGTTTTATTTCTCTTAACCCAGTGGTATTCTCCCGTGGCTCCGGGGCCTGCCTATGCTGGCTGAGTGTTGCAGAAGGGTGTCATACTGAAGGGGTGAAGGTTTTGCCAGACAAACCCCACCCTGCTTTCTGAGAAGGTATAGGAAGGGCAAGGAGGCAGCCTTGTCTCGCTGAGTTTGGTGCTGGCATTCCCCAGCTGAGCTACTTGGTTCCTGTCACACAGAATATTTCTTCATACGGCATACATAGTAACAAGATGTGTGTGACAACATACGTCTTTCTCCTGCTTTCATCCTCCAAGGACCTTATGTGGCAGATGGAGTGGAAGCCCAGACCGGCAGATCCCCGGGCTCACCATGGGCTTGAGGAAGGGGTAGGGGGAAAAGACACCAAAGAAAGAAAAGGCTATATTGTCGTTTAAAAGCAGGTATTTCAATGCTGTGCCACAGACTCATAGTGATACAGGCAAAGCATTGGCTCTATAGAGGCACCTGCTGGCTGAGAGAAACACATGAGACAACACCACCCCCCCCCCCCCCCCCCAAAAAAAAAAAAAAATCTTCGTTTTCGGTAGATCTTCGACGTGTTCATCCCTTTGTTTAATTTTTAAAGATTTTGTGTCACCCCTTGGTGCAGTATGTGGGGATGTTGCCCTGGTCACACTGATCCTGAGGAAGGCTGGAAGATGAGTGACAGGTCTGCCTGAGCAAAGAGCAGCTCCCATCTGGCCCCTCCACTGCCCCAGCTGCAGGTCACAACCCACACCCCTTGTACCCACAGCCTTCCATCTGGGCAAGGGTAGAAATCCAGCCCAGCTGAAAGCCTGAAGGAGAATATAAACCATTTCTCCTCAAGGATCACGTTCCTACAGCGGAATGGTGGGTGTTGATCAAACATTGCAAAATAATCTCTTTTCCTTTGCTTTTTTCTGTAATTTTTTTTACAAATTGTTGCAGAGGGTTTCTGAAGAAACAAATACCCATCCAAAATAACTACAGTTCCCGATATTCAGGATACAATTGCCAAAAATGCCTTCCAAGAGACAGGGAGAATTCAACGTCCCCCAGGAAAAAGAGGGGATATTTCATTAACTGAAGGTAAAGCCAATTTAAAGCTCCCAGAGGCAGGAACCACTTCGACTCTGTCCCAGCAGTTCAGTGTGAACAGTTCCGTCTTTATGCCAGACCTCTGCACTTCAGACCAGCAGCAAGCAGATTAACTCACTCAATCCTTTCATTTGGTGGAAGGTCTTAGGTGCCTTTTCCCCTTGTGCTAGATGAGCGTTCTATGAATGAAGGTAGCTCTACTGCAAATAACTTCCAATTTTAACATTTCTCTGAATGGACAAAATCCCTCCAGCTGCTGCTTTGAGGGAAGTCCCTCACAGAAACCCCACAGAAAGCATTAAATCCATGAGTGGCAAGGATTATCTCCATAAAGCTACAATGTACTGTAAATAATGTACAGAACCCAGCTTCTAAAATTACCACTACAGGATTGCTCATCTCGTTTTATATTTCATCTGGATCCTGTGATCTTCCCACCTGCCAACATCCTGTTACCAGGAGAGCAGTGTATGCGAAGTTTGTGCAAATGGTCATGTACTTGCTGAATTCTGGCACCAGTAAGGACATTCATGTGCCTTCCATGTTAACTTTACACCACAATAAATACTGACATTGCTATAGAATCTGCAGTGTTCGTGCTAAGCACTGCTCACCAAAAAAGCAAATCTATCTGTGTCCCAGCTAGGCTTCTTTATTAGCCTTGTTACGCTCCCATATCCATGGCCCCTGAGACAGGAAGCATCAACAGGCAGGATTTTAAATATGGAATACCTAAAAGCACGATCCCCATGTTTATGAACTTAATGAAAGATGTGTGATTTGCAAAGAGGCAAGGTAATGACTTATTTGGAGCTGTGAGACGCTGAGAACTTTTAAGAATAATTTCGGACTTCATCTTGCAGACTGAACTCAGTCAATGCTTTGGCATTGGCTTCAAAGGGCATTAGATCAAGCCTTATCTAGGGGCTCAAAATACAAAATTAGGAGCCTAAATTTAGGCATCCATATTTTAATACCTTGACCTGTGTTAGTAATACCCTTCATCTAATCCCTCTATTTAACCTGCAAAGAGAGAATGTCAATAACTTTTTACTGACTTGCCTAAGAGAACCTGTGGCAAGAAACGCATTACCCGCACTTCATTTATTTTTAATCCCCTCTCTCAGATCCCCAAAATAACAGCCGGAGCAATGTTAGTGGAGGAGCTCAGATTCACTTTGAAATTGGAACAGGAAATGTGGGCATCAAAAAACAAATTAAGCAAAACAATAATTTCTTAGTATTCCATCTTGTGGGCAAGTCCGGGGGGATAATCCAAATTAGGAGAGAAGTCAAAGAAACAGAGAGTGATTTTAAGCATTTTAGTGCCAGAGCTATTTCTTAACACACAGCTCACTCACTGATTTCAAATATAGTCCCTCAGCGCAGAGCATGGAGGACAGAACAAGAAAAATCAACATTTTGGTACAGCCTTCTAGCAGATACGGAAAAAAAGGCCAGAATGGAGTTAACTGTTGGGAGAAGCAGCCAGGTGAACCGATCCTAAACATCCTGAGGTATTTCAGGTGTTTCTTTCCCTGTAAGAAATCACAAGGACACAAGATGCAGTAACCCAGCTATGGCCAAACTGGCTGCAATTGATTCACCATTCACAAAATGGTGAATCAATTAACTGTGTGAGTCTTATTATTGTGATTATTTTTGTGTTGGTTGCACTAACAGGGAAGGGAGCAGCTGCAGGTATAACAAAAGGTTGCTCCTCTGAGATGCTTTGCCGACGCTCCCTCTGCTGTGATGTAAATAGAATACATGTGATGGGTAAGGGCAGCACTCAGCTCGGATCTGCAAGCATTAGAGATGCCCATGCACCACCCACTGGCAGTTTCACTTACCTCTGTCACTCAGGAGTTTCCCAAAGATCTTCAGCTTCGGGAAAGAGAGAAAAATGTTCGTGAATGCACAGCACCATCGCTCATTCTGTCCTTCTGGGTTGATTTTGTTCCCTGGACACCTTCCCATAGTCAATAATCACATCAGGTTATGAGGAGTTGCATCCCTTTCCTTACTCTTTGCCTTTTTTCCTGTCACTGACTGGATCTTTGTATCATCCTTTTGCAGTAAGCAGCAGGGGCAGTGCCAAATGAGTGGAGGTAATAGGGCAGGTCCTCAACCATCAGCAGGATTGTTTTAACATCTACAGAGAGATCAAGAAACACAAAACAGCTCTTCCTGCCAAAACAATATGTAATGTCAGCTTAAGGGTACAATCATCTTGACCCTGACTTATATTTCCCTGGCTAATAGATCTGGTAGGAGTATACATACAGAGGTTTTGTGATAATGCTTCACCTTACACTTACATCACATTCCCTGGAGAAGTATCTGATGGGGCAGCCTTACTTATTAAATCATTTCCTGTAGGGGAGAACTCATTTGGGCTCATTTATTATCATTTGTCCTGGAGCTCATATTTTGCATTCTGAGCATAAGTGGGTGTTATTCATGGCTATGGGTCTAAGAACCAAATGCTAATTTCAGGAAAACTGTTCTATTGTCTGAAGTTGATCACTTGATGTTTGTCCCAGGTGCTAGACACATGTTGCTTGCTGAAGGAGAGATATGGCTTGATCTCAGATTTTGACATTTTGGTAACTACCAAACAAAAATAAAACTAAACTCAAGTATGCCTATCCCTCCCCTGCAAATCGAGTGGCATTTAGCAATATTGACTTGAACAATAAATAAATCTATAAAACAATCAAATCAGAACAACCTCAGTGAGGCACCAAATGGGTACAATAATAGAGATATGCAAGTTGCACAGTCCTCTGCAAAGACAAGCAAACAGGACTTCAGTCCAGAGGAACCCACTAAGCACCTATTCTGCATTCCATGGGCCTCAAAATCCCCCCAGCACCTCTCACCAGACTTCAGAGCTATAGCAAAGGCCAAATACCACAAACATAACTCCCCACAGGAAGGGAAGATGGCAAGGCTCTCTCCAAAGATCTGGCAGTGGCAGGCTGTGGCTTGCCCCAGTGCCCCACACAACTAGCACCAAGGAGAAAGGTAGCAAACCCCAACCAGTGGTGTCTGTCTGATGCAGAAGGAACTCCCTCCTGCCCATAGATCTGACAGTCAGAATAAATTCTGGGGACATGGGGACAGGGTCGTGAGCACACCTTGCCACAGGTCATGTCTTTTCTCTGGCCACTCACTAACCAGTGCTCCCCTAGAAGGAAGAAGCCACAGAAGGCCTGCCACACAGGCATGGTGTCAACAAGTGCTGACCCAGCCTCCTCTCATCTGCTTGGTGAGATCCAAAAGCCCCTCTACAATGAAAAACGGGGCGTGTGTGGGGGTGGCAGGTATAACTTCCCTGGAATGAAAAGCCAGAGAGCAGCTACTGGCTATTTGTGGTTCCCTATCCCAGGGTACCAGAGGGAAGTGAAATGTATATGTACCAAAACAATACCCGTGCCTCTTCCTCAGTAATTAGGGTCTGAGGTAGGGAGTCTCTCCAAACACC